AGTGACTTCACGAACAATTTCAAACACGAGTTTATTTCAAACAAACTAAATTTTAAACGAACCGAACACGAACACAAACTCTGTTCGTTCGTGTTCGTTCTTTTACACCCTAGGTGAGGTGCGAAAATATTATTTTTTTTGAAAAATTCAGACCGGTGTCAGAAAGCAGTCACCGGATCTAGATAGATGCGGTGTGAAAACGTTGTTTTCAGCGTTTTGAAAATGCATAAGCTGCTAAAACGCAGTTTACCCAAACAGGTCAGATACGTTTTCAAAACGCCAAACGAGTAATGATAATGTTAAGAAAGTTTTGCATGCATACCACCTAAACTTTAACTTTTACATATTTATCATGTTATTTATGTATAAAAATATATATTTCACGTTAAAATTATTAGAGTTTTTATGTTATATGAAAGATTTGACCGCTATAAATATACAAAGTAAAATTTAGATGTTTAACATACAACATACAGATACATAAGAATTAGATAATGTGATATTGATGCATTAATTAATGTGTTAAATTTGAGATAATTTGGGAAACACATCCAAGGAATGAAACGTTCTATTAGGAGGCAGTTAAGAGAGAGAATGACAGAGCGGTAATAGACAAGCAAAAGGTCTCGTTTATTCATAATATTGACCCCTATTTATAAGCTTAGGTCTCCATGTTACAAAAGTACATCTTAGCCTTCTAATCATTAATCTTGTAGGGCGTTTTTTGGTAATTTACAAGATTATTTGCATATAATAAAACACGATACATATTTGATCGATAAGAGTTGTCAATCGTCTGACAAATATTTGTTCGATTAATTTATGGTCCGAAAGAGCGCTCTTCATCGATCGTTCTGAAGGTTGATGACCATCCCGAGAAACTTTATTTTGTTATCTTCTGTCGATCGTTCGAGTAACGAATTTTCTTCTTCTGAAACGATAGTCCAATGCTACATCTGATTGATCTTGTTTCCTTCCTAGGCCGCTCATCTGCTTTAAGACTCGTGCTAACATATTTTTGTGTGTACATAATGCTTAGATGTTAGATATGTAAACACATAAGAATTGAGTGTTACATTTGTAAATGTCCCTAATCTGAACCACCCATCAAAAAGACATGCAGAGAACTACCACGACCGACTATTTCAATTCAACCATGTAGTCGAATTTAAGAAGCAACAAGCTGGCAAAAGGCCTTCCTCCTATAATTAAAGCAGAAAAAAAATTCCTGATTTATTTATTAACATATGATGACAGCTTAACTAATTATCATGATAAATAATATTGGGGTAGTTCAAAGTCCATGGGAATGAAATAAATAAATGTTTGATGGTTTTTATAAATAAGAAAGTATATATTAATAATATGAAACTTTAGAAGAATGTATAGATTTTGTTTTAACCTATATATATATATATATATATATTAAAAAAGGAATGATCAGAGCATCCAACCACCCCTAATATGCCTAGCAATTTGAGTATCATCTTCTTAAGGTTAACTGTGTCAGAAGGGATTTGAACCCTGACTTGAGATGACAACCAGTAAGTCGGGGTACGCGACAAAAGGAATTCACACACATACATTGGGGTGAAAATTCTCCCTCTAATTTGTAATTTCTCCATGAAATAACAAATTTATCATTTTTTCTTATATAATTATATCAATTTAGTAATTTTGCGCTCACCATCCCTTTCATAAAATTTTTTGCCCATTGCATAAAAAAAAATACATTTGATGATTTTGCCCATCCTAAAAAATAATGTTGATTTGAAGAAGGATCTATCTATGAAGTTATTGTAGAAGAAACTGTTGTTTAAAAAACTACAGTGACAATTATAAATTTTCTTTTTTTAAAAGTCAGATCGCATCTTTCTATCAGCCATCACACATAATTAAGTCATGTTACAAATTACAAATTTTCACCACAGCTTTTTGAATATATATATATATAATTTTTGTCAAACACGAAAAATATGATGCGGTACCACACCGTCACCACACCGTTGTTTCAAAAGCACCCTCAATAATTAACAAAGAACCAAGTGGTTTACAATTACAACCCAACCCTTGGAAAATAATTCTCTTTTTCACTATCAAGCATGCAGCTAAGATTCCAATAAGTCAGTCCTCATGCCCAACAACTCTGAAAAATTACGAGTGTTTTTCTGTCCGGTCACCGGATGTGCGGACAACGGACGGTCACCGCTGCATCTCCGGTCACCGCTGCATCTCGTCCGTTGTCCGCACACACGGTGGCCGGACAGAAAGATGCCGCGGTGACCTGTATCTCGTCTGTTGTCCGCACATCCGGTGACCGGACAGTAAAATTTGGCGAAAATTACACAAAAAAATTATTACAATTACATTCGGAAATATCACTATTTTCATATACAAATATATTAATTTATAAGCAGCTAAGAATCACATATAATCGAGCTTGGTTTTACAGCTGGCTTCATCAAAGATAAATGTTCATATTGTACAACTAATTCAGAATATAATGTCACATATTCTAAAGACTTATCCATCAAGACTTGTGGCACGCGAATGTACACTACCTACTCCACTGGGCCCCTTCCCTGATTGCATAATAAATTATTATTTACAGATCTGTCCATCTAATTCAGTTGATTTATTCAAAGTTCAAGCAAGATGCCAATTTCCAACGTGGGGATGAGAGGCGGCTAAATGGGAGCCAACAAATTAGCCAAATATGTAAATAAATGAATAATCCATTATATTAATTTGTATTAGATTGAGAGGGAGGCTATATAAAGGAATGACTTCAAGCCATTCAAAGCACTCATTTCATTTCTCTCATAACTTGAAGTTAGGAAGAGGTAGCAAGGGGTTTGCCATCAAATCCATCCACAACTGTGGAAGATGGCGAGTCGCCGCAAGTTGCGGCAAGCGCCGCACTTGGTGCTTGTGGCGGTGGTGTGCTTGATAGGTATAGTGGTTAATGCAGATTCTACACCATATATCTATACATCCCCGCCACCACCAACAAAATCTATTTCGCCTCCCTATTACTATAAGTCTCCACCTCCGCCATCTTCATCGCCTCCTCCACCATATTACTACAAATCCCCACCACCACCATCTCCTTCCACACCTCCTCCATACCATTATAAATCACCATCACCACCTTCACCATCTCCCCCTCCACCATACCATTACAAATCTCCACCACCACCATCTCCTTCTCCACCTCCTCCATACCACTATAAATCACCACCACCACCTTCACCATCTCCGCCCCCACCATACCATTACAAATCTCCACCACCACCATCTCCTTCTCCACCTCCTCCATACCACTATACCCACACCACTATACATCACCCCCACCACCTTCACCAACTCCCCCCCCACCATACCATTACAAATCTCCACCACCACCATCTCCTTCTCCACCTCCTCCATACCACTATAAATCACCACCACCACCATCACCATCTCCTCCTCCGCCATACCATTACCAATCTCCACCTCCGCCATCCCCATCTCCTCCTCCACCATACATCTATAAATCCCCACCGCCTCCATCACCATCTCCTCCACCTCCCTTCCCCCCCCCCCCCCAACCAACTATAAATCACCACCACCACCATCACCATCTCCTCCCCCACCATACCATTACAAATCTCCACCACCACCATCTCCTTCTCCACCTCCTCCATACCACTATAAATCACCACCACCACCATCACTATCTCCTCCTCCACCATACCATTACAAATCTCCACCACCACCATCTCCTTCTCCACCTCCTCCATACCACTATAAATCACCGCCACCACCATCACCTTCTCCTCCACCTCCATATCACTATAAATCTCCTCCCCCACCATCCCCTTCACCCCCACCTCCATACCACTACAAATCACCACCACCACCGTCTCCTTATCCTCCACCTCCTTATCACTATAAGTCCCCACCTCCTCCATCACCATCACCGCCTCCTCCATACTATTATAAATCACCACCACCACCGTCACCATCTCCTCCACCTCCTTATTATTATAAGTCTCCTCCCCCTCCATCTCCTTCCCCACCCCCGCCATACTACTATAAATCACCGCCTCCACCATCTTTGTCTCCTCCTCCACCATACCACTATAAGTCACCACCGCCACCAGCACCCTCTCCACCTCCTCCTTATTATTATAAATCCCCTCCTCCTCCATCTCCCTCCCCACCTCCCCCTTACTACTATAAATCACCACCCCCACCATCCCCATCTCCTCCTCCACCATATAATCATAAGTCTCCCCCACCACCATCACCTTCTCCTCCACCTCCATATCATTATAAGTCTCCTCCTCCCCCATCCCCTTCACTTCCACCTCCATATTACTATAAATCACCTCCCCCGCCAGCACATTCTCCTCCACCACCATACTATTATAAATCTCCACCACCACCATCACCCTCTCCTCCACCTCCTTATTATTATAAGTCCCCCCCTCCCCCATCTCCTTCACCTCCACCACCATACTACTACAAATCACCTCCCCCGCCAACTCCATCCCCTCCTCCACCATACTATTACCAATCTCCACCTCCGCCTTCCCCATCTCCTCCTCCTCCATATTTTATAAATCTCCACCGCCTCCATCACCCTCTCCTCCACCCCCATATCAATATAAGTCTCCTCCTCCACCTTCTCCTTCACCACCTCCTCCTTACTACTATAAATCACCGCCCCCACCATCACCAGCTCCTCCTCCACCATATCATTACCAATCTCCACCCCCGCCATCACCATCACCTCCTCCACCATACATCTTATAAATCCCCACCACCTCCATCACCTTCTCCTCCACCACCCTATCAATATAAGTCTCCTCCTCCACCATCTTATTCACCACCTCCTCCTTACTATTATAAATCACCTCCCCCACCATCACCATCACCTCCACCACCATCACCATCACCTCCACCACCATATCATTACAAATCTCCACCCCCGCCATCACCATCACCCCCTCCCCCATACCATTACCAATCTCCTCCCCCACCATCCCCATCTCCTCCTCCACCATACATCTATAAATCCCCACCACCTCCATCACCCTCTCCTCCACCCCCCTATCACTATAACTCTCCTCCACCACCATCTCCTTCACCGCCTCCTCCGTACTACTATAAATCACCTCCCCCACCATCACCATCACCTCCTCCACCATACCATTACAAATCTCCTCCTCCGCCGTCACCTGCTCCTCCGCCTCCCTATTACTATAAATCTCCCCCTCCACCGTCTCCTTCACCGCCTCCTCCTTACTATTACAAATCACCACCTCCTCCATCTCCATACTATTAAAAATCCCGACCACCACCACCATCATCATCTCCTCCACCTTTCTATAAGTATTATACTTTCTTCTGTCAGCAAAATTCAAGTAGTTGTGAATGCAATAAAGTTGTTTCAGGTTATCTCCATTCAACATAAGAACAAGATAGCATCTCTGCATCAAAGGAAGATATGGTAGAGATCTGCAATTCTGGGAACTCTAAGTGGGGACGACAACCATGCAATTTGTAAAAGTGTGCATCTATTTTTTTTTTTTATTCTATTTTATAAAAGCCCATAAGCTTTTCTTTTCCTAAGCATGTATTCTGAAGAGCTGTACTGTAATTTTTATCTTTGAATCCATCAAAAATGAGTGTTGGATGCAAACTATTGTTTCTTTCATGGATTTGTTTTGTTTCATAATTTTAAGGGTTTTATATTTATAATTATAATCTTTAACAAATACTTTCCATAATTTTTAATTTAATCTAATTATAAATTGATAAAAAAATATGCCTATATATATAATTAGAGGTAGTGGGAGGCGCGAATATTAGCCTCTGACCATTTCTTTATATATAGATATATATGTATATATAACATCTAAATTTTGTTATATTTTTACATTTAAACACTCATAATCTTGCATATCATGTATAAAATATCAGCATTTAAACTTAAAAAAAAAGTAAAATATTTTATTTTCATGCATAAATAAGCTGACATATATGCACACAATGAAGTGTTAGATATATAAATAGGTAAAATTATGATGTAATATAAACAAATCATGATTTGACTAAAATTGTTAAGAAATGTTATCTGTGGAGATTATCAATAATAACATGCTATAAAACATTAAACAATGGTGTTGCTCTCGTATTAAGCGCGTTTCCTGCAAGTGATTTAATTTATTATGATTATTTTTCTTTGAGAGGTTTCATACATGATTTTTTTCTTAATTATAGAGATACCAATATATTATAAGATCTTTTTCTTAATTATTGACAAATATTTAAAGTAAAGAAAGAAAATATGCCAAGGAGTTGATGTGACCACACCCAACCCGCTAGTAGAGCAGTGTGACCACGCTCCCGCCTAGGTTCCAATATTTGGCCTTGGCGGCCCTAGGGAAGCGTGCCACCTTGAGCTGAAATTTCAGAGATCTCTTTGGGCTTGAGGAGAAATGCAGGCAAGTTGGGGATCTGGTTGGGTGAGCTGATTTTAAGTTAGGGAATCCGACATTTCCTTTCCATTGAGCTAGGGAGAGCTTTCATGGAGAGCATTTTGGAAAGTTTGAGAGTGCTAAAGGGAGAACGCCATCTTCTTCAAGAAGATTCATCTTCTTGGAGTATAGAGTTTGGAGCAAGGAAAAAGGAGGACTCTTCATCTTCTTCAAGGAGAAGCGCAAGAGAGTTGGACCATTTTCCAACTTCTTCTCCTCTTCTTCACCTTTCTTCTTCTCTCCTACATCATAGGAGAGCTTCATTCTATCATGGGGAAGGAATGTCAAAGCTCAGAACTTCGTCGAAACATCATCATCTCTCCTAACATTATGAGAGTTTCATTTTACATGAAGAAACACGACATCAAACTCCATGTTGGTGAGGTTCCATAATACCCTTTGCTTATTCTTTCTTAGCTAGACATAGGAATAGACTTTTTTTAGGTGTTTGTGGGTTTGTTCGCCCACACGAGATAAGTTTGATTGGCCACCATATATTGTCTGGCTCAATTAATCGCAAGTTATCAGACAATTTGATTGGTCAAACGATACCAATTGGCTCGGCCATACGTCTTTTGATTGGCCAGCTTTGTGGTGTCATCGTAGGTTTGGTCACCCATGCTAGGCAGGTTGGTCGGCTGACACTAGTCGTCAAGGTCATACGTCTATTGATTGGCCATTTATTTCCTAGAGGAAGCTCTAGGGTAGGAAGCACATGCGTCGTCAAATCCTTTGCGAAGCTGAGTGACTTTCCATTGTAAAACCTGGGTCCTAAATCATAGTGGGTTGGAATGCCAATTTTTTATGGCTTTGGCGCTTCTAGCCTTCCTTGGAGGGCATGGAATAGTTCGTCTTGAAGAATGGGAAAATTGTAGCTAACCCATTCCACAAGATCGTTGAGGGTTTGTAGAGCGAAAAAAGCTTTGTAGTTAGTCTGTCCTAAAAATGGTGAAGGATTTCTCCTACAAGAAATCAGAGGATGAAGTTCTCTACATTCCACGGAAAAGCCAAAGGCAGCCTTGCCACATATCCGAGAGCTAAAACCCTAAGCACCTATGTAAAGTGTTACTTGAGTTCGGTTTGTTATTGATTGTGACAAATCACTTGTTGTACATTGCAATGTATGCTTGCAAGCTCGTGAGTTTGGTCTTTCATGCTAGGCAAATTGGTCGTCCAATCCTAGTCGTCTCGACCACATGCTTATTGATTGATCAATCATCTGTGTGATTTATATGTTGCATGTCACACATCACACTTTTTGCCTCTGCCATGGCCTGGTCGACACTACACGTTGCCTGGACTGGCCGTCCTAGCCCGGTCGGCTTTATGCCTTTCCTCGATCGGCCGCCCTGGTCTGGTCGGCATTGTTTCTTGCTTGGATATTGATCAATCATCTGTGTGATTTATATGTTGCATGTCACACATCACACTTTTTGCCTCTGCCATGGCCTGGTCGACACTACACGTTGCCTGGACTGGCCGCCCTAGCCCGGTCAGCTTTATGCCTTTCCTCGATCGGCTGCTCTGGTCTGGTCGGCATTGTTTCTTGCCTGGACTTGGATTGGCTATCTTAGCTCGGTTGACATTACGCCTTGCCTCAATCGGCCGCCCTGACCTAGTCGGCACTATGTCTTGCCTCGACCAACTACCTTGGCCTGGTCGACTGATCACTTCGTTTTGACCCAGTCGACCAATCACTTTGGCCCAGTTGGCCACCTTATTGAGCCAGTTAGCTACGTTGCCTCGAGTTTGACCACCCCGGTTAACCCAGTAGGTCGAACAACCATCTTCACTTGTATGTGTATGTTTTTCATGTGCATTAGTATTACTTGCATGTTATTTTGTATAATCAACATCACATGCTTGAATTACATTTTGAATGTTCATTCATACACTCACCCCACTCGGATGATTCTCTCCAGTAAGAATCATCATTCTCTTGAGTCAATGCCCCTTGCAGCACACTGCCCACTTGGGCCAATGCCTCCACGGAATGCCCGCGCCTTTTGTGTCAATGCCTTCCAGGCAACCTCGCCACTTGATTCAACGCCCCTTGCAGTACACTTGTTCTCTTGGGTCACTGCCTCCACGATATGCCCAGCCTTTCGGGTCATTGCCTCCACGACAAGCCCACCCTTTTGGGTCACTACCTTCACGATGCACCCATTCCTTCATACTTCTACCTTCATGACATACCCACCCTTTTGAATCATGACACACCCATCTTTCGGGCCGCTGCCTCCACGCACGCTCACCCTTTCAGATCACTCCATCCACCACACGCCCATCTTCAGGCCACAACCTTCGCAACACGCCTACCCTTTTGGGTTGCTGCTTCCATGGCATGACCACCCTTTTGGGCTATTGTTTCCATGATAAACTCATCCTTTGGGCCACTGACTTCAAGACATGCCCACCCTTCTAGGTCATTATTTTCAAGACACACCTATTCCTTTGGACCGCTGCCTCCACGACACACTCGTTCCGAGTCTCTACCTCCACGACAGACTCCCCACCACTTTTATAATATGATTGTTTGCATTTGCATATGTATGCATGCATGAATAATGGGTCAGGCTCGATAGGTGAGTGCCCATGCGTTGGACTTGATGCCTTAACTAATATTACTTTCTGGGTCAATCTCGATGAGCAATGCAATTTAAAACATTGAGATTGACATTAATATGACTGTGTTAAGAATCCAAGGGATCTAACACGTGTCGTCTTGCATGTTGCAAGTCCTCATTTAATGACCCTTATTTTAAAAATAAAAAAAAATATATTTTTTGTTATTTATTATAACCGCTATAACTTTAAAATTATGCATGTAGCAAACTAGGTCATATGTAAGACCAACTCTTTTCAAAATCTATCCTAGGTGAAACCCATTAGATCCCTTGGATCTTTAGTAAGAGGCCGGTGTGGCGACCTTATCGAAGTCACACATACTCGGAGACCTACCCTAAGCACTTAGATGTTGGTTAGGACACCTAATCATGAGATGGTGTACTAAACTAGAACTAGGGTACTAGGTAGTATTTTCGATGCCTCTAGCTAATATTCTCTACTTGATTGGTTGTTCTAGCCAAGCATTGCTTTTATACTTCTGGAGTGTTTGATATGCATGGTAGTATATTAGTGTGTTCTTTTGTAGGGAGTCGTGCCTATATATATGCACACACACTAGTGATGACTTTTACTTTCCTTTTGCTTACATGTGTCATTGCTCCGTTCCTTGTAAATTTCTTTATTCATCACTAACCCCACATGTCATCAAAGTTTAACTTTAAGTTACTTGAAGAGTTACTCACCATAGTGATTTGTTCATCATAACTGACTGCAATAAAGATAAAAGTAACAATTCTCTGACCTCATCATTAAACTTGATGTCAATTGAACACAGTTAGTTTTTTACAGTGTTGAAATTATTCAAATATTCAGTCATTGAACTATCATCGATCGTCTTCATAGTGAATAATTTCTTCAGCAAAAAAAATTTATTTGACGCCAATGTCTTCTCATAATTCCTTATTACTTCGGCCATGGGATCAATAATAATTTTCTCATTTACAATGTTGAAAACAATAGATGAAAAAAGTAAAAGTCGGATTAAACCTAAGGTTGTTCAATCAAACACTTCATATTCTTCAGGAATCATTGACTCTAACTTGGTGATCCCTTCCAATGGCAATAATAGTTTTCATATATATAATAAATCTTTAATTTGTATTTTACAGAAGACAAAATTTGAACCATTGAACTTTTTCACTTGTTGCGAGTAGATTACATTACTATGAAATGCAAAACACATATTCGAAACTACCAAAGCAAAACTTTGAACATAAGCCCACGAACTAGAAATCACAAAATAAAATACAAGAGCACCTACATTTAATGTGGAAAAAACCACGGCACCACACCACACCAAGAAATCCACTATAAAGAAATGAGATGTATATATTACATCACAATAAAGTCTTTCAACAACTTGTAACGTTACCGGGACGCTTTTCTTCTTTTTTTCGCACAAGAGAACTTGCAAAATCCAACTCTAACGCTCATAACACACAAACCAAGCTCGCAGTGCTAAATACTTAAAATTCCAAATTGTCATAAGTAGTTGTTGGTGACCGGGCATCAGCCCGAGCACTGGTTTTCTAGTTTCTTGGGTTCAGAAAGCACCCTGATGGGTGCTTAGGCGCCAAACACAACATTTGGTGGCTTTTTTTGAATTAAGCCATGTGGTTTATTTTAGGAAGTAACAAGCTGGCAAAAGACCTTCACCTGATTTATTTATAAACATATGATGACACCTTAACTAGATGTTATAATACATACTTTTAGAGTAGTTCAAAGTCCATGGGAATGAAATTACTAAATTTATGTTTGGCAGTTAGCACAAAAAAAAGACTATTTTAACCTATCCCAGATGAGCAACCAAGTTTTTTTTTCCCTTGATTTATTCAAAAAGGAACAAAATTAAGATTGATATGTGTAAGATATTACAAATAATCAGACCATCAAATATTTTATATATATATATATATATATATATATAATTGGACAGTTTTGTAGCTGGCTTCATGAAAGTTAAATATGCATTTTGTACAGCTAATTCAGATGTTATTTCACACATTCTGAAGACATATTAATCAAGACTTGAAGCACACTAATATACTACCTACTAAATTTTTATTTACAATTTTGACCATCTAATTCAGTTGATCTTTTCAAACTTCTAAACACGGTTTCCAATCCCACGTGTAGATTAGAGGCAGCTTAATGGGAGCCAACAAATTAGCTAAATATATAAATAAATTAAATAGAAAAACAAAAAAAAAACAAAAAAGACAGCTTGCAAGACACATTAGAATAATTTGTATGAGATTGTGTGGTAGGCTATATAAAGGATTGACTTCAAGCCATTCAAAGCACTCACAGAGTTCTTTACTTTCAGAACTTGAAGTTAGGAAGAGGTAGCAAGGGGTTAGCTGTCGTCGAACAACGGTGGATGATGGCTGGTCACCGCAAAGTGCGGCAAGCACCGTACTTGGTGCTTGCCATGGTGGTTTGCTTGATTAATACAGTGGTTGAGGCAGATACTAAACCATATATCTATTCATCTCCGCCACCACCAGCACAATCTATTTCGCCTCCCTACTACTATAAGTCTCTACCTCCGTCATCTCCTTCCCCACCTCCACCATATCATTATACGTCACCCCCCCATCACCCTCTCCTCCCCCCCCATATCAATATAAGTCTCCTCCTCCACCTTCTCCTTCACCACCTCCCCCTTACTACTATAAATCACCGCCCCCACCATCACCATCACCTCCTCCACCATACCATTACCAATCTCCACCCCCACCATTCCCATCTCCTCCTCCTCCGTATTTCTATAAATCCCCACCGCCTCCATCACCCTTTCCTCCACCCCCATATCACCCACCCCCTCCCCCACCATATCATTACCAATCTCCCCCCCCCCCATCCCCATCTCCTCCTCCTCCATACATCTATAAATCCCCGCCACCCCCATCACCCTCTCCTCCTCTACTTTCTCCTTCATCACCTCCTCCTCCCCCTTACTACTATAAATCCCCCCCCCCCCCATCACCATCACCTCCTCCACCATACCATTACCAATCTCCACCCTCACCATCCCCATCCCTTCCTCCGCCATACATCTATAAATCTCCGCCGCCTCCCTCACCATCTCCTCCACCCCCGTATCAATATAAATCTCCTCCTCCACCTTCTCCTTCACCACCTCCTCCTTACTACTATAAATCACCGCCCCCACCATCACCATCACCTCCTCCACCATACCATTACCAATCTCCACCCTCACCATCCCCATCCCTTCCTCCGCCATACATCTATAAATCTCCGCCGCCTCCCTCACCATCCCCACCGCCTCCATCACCCTCTCCTCCACCCCCATATCAATACAAGTCTCCTCCTCCACCATCTCCTTCACGACCTCCACCTTACTATTATAAATCACCGCCCCCTCCATCACTATCACCTCCTCCACCATATCATTACCAATCTCCACCTCTGCCATCACCATCACCTCCTCCCCCATACATTTATAAATCTCCACCGCCTCCATCACCCTCTCCTCCACCCCCATACCAATATAAGTCTCCTCCTCCACCTTCTCCTTCACCACCTCCTCCTTACTACTATAAATCACCGCCCCCACCATCACCATCACCTCCTCCACCATACCATTACCAATCTCCACCCCCACCATTCCCATCTCCTCCTCCTCCGTACATCTATAAATCCCCACCGCCTCCATCACCCTCTCCTCCACCCCCCTATCAGTATAATTCTCCCCCTCCACCATCTTCTTCACCACCTCCTCCTTACCACTATAAATCACCTCCCCCACCATCACAATCACCTCCTCCAACATACTCTTACAAATCCCCACCCCCACCATCACCATTTCCTCCATCTCCTTATTACTATAAATCTCCCCCTCCACCATCTTCTTCACCGCCTCCTCCATACCATTACAAATCACCACCCCCACCATCTCCATCACTCCCTCCACCATACTACTAAAAATCTCCTCCTCCACCTTTCTATTACTATAAATCACCATTTCAATCACCTCATTCACTTTTTACTCATCTACATTACTCACCTCTGCACCTGGATCACTTTTCTCATCCAACACCTCTTTTTCCATTCATCAACAATTATCTTTTCGTATGGCAGCAAAATTGAAGCAGTTGGGAATACAATAAAACTGTATGGGGTTGTCTCCTTTCAACAAAAGATAAAGGTAGCATATCTGCATCAAAGGAAAACAAAGTGGAGATTGGCAACTCTGCAAATATAAGTAGGGACAACAGTCATGCAATCATGTGTCGAACTGTAAAAATTGTTTTCTTATTCTGTATTATAAAGCCAATAATTTTTTGTTTTTGGCCTAGACATGTATTTTGAAGGGCTGTATTGTATTTTTTTTCATTTTAATTCATTAGAAACAAGTGTTGGATGCAAACTTGAGTGGTATGCAAATAAACGTGGAACAATAGATGTTAAATATGTAAATATATAAGAATTGTGTGGTATGTATGTAAATGCATAAATATAATTAAAAGATTATTCCTTGAAAAATGTACATGCATACCAACAAATAGTCATGTATTTACATACCTATATTTTGCTTTTTATGTTTATAGGTTCCAAATCTCTTATATCACATCTAAAATATCACAATTTTAATTTTTAAAAATGGAACTACACCTTTTCATATGTTGACATATATGTAAAATTTGAAATTTAGTTGTTGGATAAGCAAATACATAAAGTTTGAGTGGTATGTATCATGTGTGCAATTGTAAAAACCTTTAAGTAAACTCAAGTTGAACTTCTTTTAGTGTAATGGTTGGAATTTTGATAGAAACTCCAATTTTAAGCATGCCCGTGTAGGAACACTTCTGGAATGGATGACCTCCTAAAAAGTTATAACCATTGAGGTGAAAACCGTGAGGATATTAGGCCAAAACATACTGTTCAAAACAATGCGGAAAACAAAATCACACAACAAACAAGCTGCGATTTATTTCATTCGATGCAAATTTTCTTCTGTCCACGTAGAAGGGTTATTTTACTATCAATATACAGGGAGAGGAAAAAAAGAACCAAAAATGGGTACAACTTCATACACAAAAATCAGCCTTTGCAATCTTTCTCATAATGGGGTTTCTTTCTATAATTTCAACATTCACCTCTGCCTTTTTCTCTCCCTGACCTAGACTTTCCTCTCCTGGACTTGAATCTTTTCTCTTTGTGTTTCTATCCAGATTCTTTCCTCCATTTTCAAAATTTACAATAAAATTTGAAGTTTCATTGCTCACATTCTTGTGAACTTCTTCATTCAGCACTAACCCTACAATGTCGTCAAATTTTAAGTTCATGTTACTTGAAGAGTTGCTCACCATAAAGATTAGTTCATTCCAACAGTCTCTATTTGACAATAATGATAAATCGCTTCGACCTCCTTATTGAACTTGATGCCAAAGGATCACAAATGGTTTGTTACAATATTGAAATTATTCAAATGATCAGCCATCAAACTACGATCCACCATTTTCATATATAACAAAATTTGCATCAAAAAAATTTTATTTGAAGTTAATATCTTCTCAAACATTCCTGATAGTTCTGCCATGAGATAAACAATAGTTTTCTCATTCACAATATTGAGTGCAACATATGAGGTAAGTGAAAGTCGGATCAAACCTAAGATTTTTGATCAAGCACTTCTCATTTTTCTAGAGCCGTCAATTCTGAATTCATGGTGATTTTGTCTAGTGATAAATATATATTTTTTATATAATAAATCTTTAATTTGTATTCTACAAAAGTCATAGTTCAAACCATTGAACTTCTCCGCCTTGTATCTTCTTCATCAGTCATTTCTCCCACTCAAACCAAATATCTTTAGAAATAAATAATCCACAGCTGCGCCAAACAGACCCTAAATTATTAAGAAATGTGAATGTTTTGAAACAAAACTTTGAACAGAATTACACAAACATTAATCACAAGATAAAATTAAAGAACACCAAAATTTAATATGAAAACACTCAAAAATAAGAAAAATGCAAGAGGCACATCACACCAAGAAATCCACTAAAAAAAATGAGAAGAAATGTATATATTATACCACAAACAAGTCTCTCTACAACTTAAAACACTCGAAAGAAGCTTCTCCTCTCTTTTTTTACTACAAGAAGCAGGTTGCTGGTAAGGCTGTGACATTGGCTCAAAGATCATAAATCACTCAAAAATCAAATCAAAATTTAACATGGATTGAAATCGGCTTGAAATATTTTTGAGTTGAGCTACGAGCTAAATAAAAAGGTCGAATTTATTTCCATCCGGCCTTGGCTCGAATCGGAATCGAATCAAATTTGAAAACAAACTAGTCGATGATAAATGATCGGACGGTGGATCACAATTCATGAATATCATAACACATCATATATTTCTAAAATTCTATTCTCTATTTCACTTCCCTATCGCCACCCAAAGCCCTAACTTTCTCTAGACGCGTCTCTCGCTCTCTCTTTGCCTCTTCCCCTAATCCCCTCTTGTTTGGTTGTCATTGTCTCTCTAGCTCTTTGTGACTCTGTTGATAGTTTCTCCCCTCTCACATCTTGCTCTCTGCCTCTCTAATGGGTTGTGGGGGTTCGAGCATTCGACGCGTTGAGAGTGGTAATGTGTGGTTATTTGTGTGTGATGGGTGATTTTTGGTTTAGTCACCATAACTCAGAATATTCTTCTCTGTGTCCTCATAACAATTCACAATGGTCAAGAGTTATTTTGTTTGAAAAGGAATTTAGGATTTCTATCCTTAGTACAGATTTTTCCGTGAGAAAGTGATCAATTTTTTTCTGTGACACAGTGATTAATAGTTTGGAAGCAGCTGTGGTTTTCTATGAACATTGTGTAGTTCTTAGCGACTATGATTTTTTTTGTGAGTGATCACCTTTTCTGGTTCTATCAATAGTGCGATTTTTTTTTTTGTCTTTTGATGTATAGTTCTTGCCCAAGCATTAAGCATCTAGGACTAGAGGTTGTTTCACTATTTTATGCTAAATCCTGTCAAATGACTAAAGAGGCATCTGTTTCATATCAATAAATAATTTTGTTCAAATGAAGTTTTTGAAGATTCATTATGTTTTTTGAGCAGCTCGAGCGGGATTTGAGCTGGCTAGATTAGGTTTTTGAGTCAAATCAATTCGATTAATTAGTCAAAAAGGCATTCGAGCCGGTTCATTTAAAATTCGAGCCGACTTGTTTACAATTTGAGCAATGGGTTTTCCAGGAGGCTTAGGTTCAAGAAACTCTTTGTTGGACACTTATGCGCCAAGCAAGCACTAGGGCACCCCGAACAGGCTCCGCACACAACATTAGGTAGGTAATTTTGAATTGGGTGGTATATATATAAAAGCCCCTAATTTTAGTCTCCATTCTAACAACATGTAGAGAACTATCACTACCAACAATCTCAATTCAACTATGTGGTTGATTTTAAGAAGCAACAAGCTGGCAAAAGGCCTTCCTTATATACTTAAATCAGCAAAATCCCTGATTTAACTATAAACGTATGATGACAGCTTAACTAGATGTTAAAATACATACTCTTAGAGTAGTTCAAAGTCTATGGGAATGAAATTACAAAATATATGTTCGGTACTTAGCAGAAATAAGAAAACGGGTATTTTAATTTATCCCCTGGATTTATTCAAGAAGGAACAAAATTAAAATATTAACCAAGACTTCTTTTTACAAAATTCCACCCAAAGTTCTTACAATTACATCTGTATATATCACAAACAATTGGTGAAGTCTTTGCAGCTGGCTTCATCAAACTTAAATATTCATATTGTACAACTAATTCAGATGTAATTTCACATATTCTAAAGACATATTAACCAAGACTTGCAGTAAACTAATATCCTACCTACTTCAGGCCCTGGTTGGATACTAAATTTTTATTTACAATTCTGATCATCTAATTCTGTTGATTTCTTCCAACTTCTAAACACGGTTTCCATTCCGACGTGGTGATGAGAGGCAGCTTAATGGGAGCCAACAAATCAGCTAAATATATAAATAAATTAAATAGAAAAAGAAACCCAAGAAGACAGCTTGCAGGACACATTAGATTAATTTGTATGATTGTGTGGGAGGCTATATAAGGAATTGACTTCAAGCCATTCAAAGCATTCACAGAGTTCCTTACTTTCAGAACTTGAAGTTAGGAAGAGGTAGCAAGGGGTTAGCCGTCGATCCAACGACGACGGTGGATGATGGCCGGTCACCGCAAAGCGCGGCAAGCACCGTACTTGGTGCTTGCCATGGTGGTATGCTTGATCAATACAGTGGCTGAGGCAGATTTTAAACCATATATCTATTCATCTCCGCCACCACCAGCACAATCTATTTCAACTCCCTATTACTATAAGTCTCCACCTCCGTCATCTCCTTCCCCACCTCCACCATATCATTATACATCACCACCGCCGCCATCTTCGTCTCCTCCTCCACCATATTACTACTCCTATCCATCTCCGCCACCACCAGCACAATCTATTTCAACTCCCTATTACTATAAGTCTCCACCTCCGTCATCTCCTTCCCCACCTCCACCATATCATTATACATCACCACCGCCGCCATCTTCGTCTCCTCCTCCACCATATTACTACAAATCTCCACCGCCACCATCTCCTTCCCCACCTCCTCCATACCACTATAAATCACCACCACCACCATCACCATCTCCTCCTCCGATCAATATAAGTCTCCTCCTCCACCTTCTTCACCACCTCCACCATACCATTACCAATCTCCACCCCCACCATCCCCATCTCCTCCTCCATACATCTATAAATCCCCACCGCCTCCATCACCTTCTCCCCCACCCCCTTATCAATATAAGTCTCCTCCTCCACCTTCTTCACCACCTCCACCATACCATTACCAATCTCCACCCCCACCATCCCCATCTCCTCCTCCATACATCTATAAATCCCCACCGCCTCCATCACCTTCTCCCCCACCCCCTTATCAATATAAGTCTCCTCCTCCACCTTCTTCACCACCTCCACCATACCATTACCAATCTCCACCCCCACCATCCCCATCTCCTCCTCCATACATCTATAAATCCCCACCGCCTCCATCACCTTCTCCCCCACCCCCTTATCAATATAAGTCTCCTCCTCCACCTTCTTCACCACCTCCACCATACCATTACCAATCTCCACCCCCACCATCCCCATCTCCTCCTCCATACATCTATAAATCCCCACCGCCTCCATCACCTTCTCCCCCACCCCCTTATCAATATAAGTCTCCTCCTCCACCTTCTTCACCACCTCCACCATACCATTACCAATCTCCACCCCCACCATCCCCATCTCCTCCTCCATACATCTATAAATCCCCACCGCCTCCATCACCTTCTCCCCCACCCCCTTATCAATATAAGTCTCCTCCTCCACCTTCTTCACCACCTCCACCATACCATTACCAATCTCCACCCCCACCATCCCCATCTCCTCCTCCATACATCTATAAATCCCCACCGCCTCCATCACCTTCTCCCCCACCCCCTTATCAATATAAGTCTCCTCCTCCACCTTCTTCACCACCTCCACCATACCATTACCAATCTCCACCCCCACCATCCCCATCTCCTCCTCCATACATCTATAAATCCCCACCGCCTCCATCACCTTCTCCCCCACCCCCTTATCAATATAAGTCTCCTCCTCCACCTTCTTCACCACCTCCACCATACCATTACCAATCTCCACCCCCACCATCCCCATCTCCTCCTCCATACATCTATAAATCCCCACCGCCTCCATCACCTTCTCCCCCACCCCCTTATCAATATAAGTCTCCTCCTCCACCTTCTTCACCACCTCCACCATACCATTACCAATCTCCACCCCCACCATCCCCATCTCCTCCTCCATACATCTATAAATCCCCACCGCCTCCATCACCTTCTCCCCCACCCCCTTATCAATATAAGTCTCCTCCTCCACCTTCTTCACCACCTCCACCATACCATTACCAATCTCCACCCCCACCATCCCCATCTCCTCCTCCATACATCTATAAATCCCCACCGCCTCCATCACCTTCTCCCCCACCCCCTTATCAATATAAGTCTCCTCCTCCACCTTCTTCACCACCTCCACCATACCATTACCAATCTCCACCCCCACCATCCCCATCTCCTCCTCCATACATCTATAAATCCCCACCGCCTCCATCACCTTCTCCCCCACCCCCTTATCAATATAAGTCTCCTCCTCCACCTTCTTCACCCCCTCCACCATACCATTACCAATCTCCACCCCCACCATCCCCATCTCCTCCTCCATACATCTATAAATCCCCACCGCCTCCATCACCTTCTCCCCCACCCCCTTATCAATATAAGTCTCCTCCTCCACCTTCTTCACCCCCTCCACCATACCATTACCAATCTCCACCCCCACCATCCCCATCTCCTCCTCCTCCATACATCTATAAATCTCCACCACCTCCTTCACCCTCTCCTCCACCGCCATATCAGTATAAGTCTCCCCCTCCACCATCTCCTTCACCACCTCCTCCTTACTACTATAAATCCCCACCCCCACCATCACCACTTCCTGCATCTCCCTATTACTATAAATCTCCCCCTCCACCGTACTACTAAAAATCTCCTCCTCCACCTTGCTATTACTATAAATCGCCATTTCTACCACCTCATTCACTTTTCACTCATCTACATTAATCACCTCTGCACCTGGTTCACTTTTCTCATCCAACTCCTCTTTTTCCATTCAACGACAAGTATTTTTTCTTATGACAGCAAAATTGAAGCGGTTGGGAATACAATAATGTTGTTTGAGGTTGTCTCCATTCAACATAAGAAAAAGATAGCATCTCTCTGCATCAAAGGAAAACAAAGTGCAGATTAGCAACTCTGGAAACTATAAATGGGGGCAACAGCAATGCATTAGCTTGTAAAACTTTGAAATTACTTTCTTATTCCATATTATAAAGCCCATTGGCTTTTTTTCTTTTATTTTCTAAGCATGTATTCATTTTAATTTTAATTTTTTTCATTTTAATTCATCAAAAATAAGTGTTGGATGCAAAGTTGAAAACTAATGTTTCTTTCATGGATTTGTTTGTTTCATTTTTTATCAACTGTCAGCTGAATGGGAAGAAGATTAGATCTAGACTTTCTTATTTAAATTTAAACAGAGTAAATTTAAAAATATTAATTTAATTGAGATAAAATATTATAATTTAATTTTAGGTGTTTATTTATAATAAAAATCATTAAAAAATATTTTCCATAATTTAAAATTTAATCTAGTTATAAATTGATTAAAATACTGTGGCAGGTTTTTTTAAAAAAATAATTAAAATGGCCGGCAAAATAAACTCCATACTAAATTAAGGAGATATAAGATTAAGGAATTTATTTTTTTTTTGAAAAAGGGCCGGCAAAATAAACCAAAATAAGCTCTGCAACTAAATAGTTAGATTTTTTTTTTGCAAATCTAACCCCTAAATTTTGATGTTTTCATTTATAACACTTTAGTGTAATATTCCTACAATGAAAAAGTGGATTTCACTTTTAAAAAGATAATTACTGTGATATTTTTTATGCAACAAGTCTTTATCGCGCTGAGTGGGGTTATCTATATGAATCATTATCTATATGAATCATTTTCTCCGTTGTGTCCTATTATCATATTTTCATTCAATTCTAATAAATTAAGTTCATTTTGTATACAACATGCCTAAGTCTTTTTAAGCCTGCATCTATCTTTCTTAACATATGTCAAATCTAAAACATCTACTCTCCTAATTGGATCATAAGATGGTCGAAGTTTAATGTGACCAAACAATCTAAGATGACTCTCTCTAATCTTCCGATATGCCACTGGATACACCAACCCTTTCACAAATATTATCATTTCCCATTTTGTCTCTAAGTCTAAAGCCGCTCATCCATCTTAGCATTCTCAACTTAGCAACGCTTTGGTTTTTTCTTCTCTTTTATAGGCTAACATTATGTGCCATAAAGTATTGTAATTCTCACCACCATCTTACAAAATTTTCTTTTGAGTCTGAGCGGTACTTTTCTATCACACAATGACCTGATGATTCCTCTACTTCAAACGTCCAACTTGAATTCTACTAATAAAATCTCCATCTATATTACTATTATTTTGAATTATAAACCCAAGATATTTAAAATGTTCACTCCTTTTAATGAATTGATCATCCATTGGTTTAACCTCGCCACTATATCTACTACTACTAAAATTTCATGTCATGTATCTAATTTTAGATCCACACAAATGAAAGTCCTTAGATTCTAAAGTTGACATCCATAATTCAAGTTCTTCCTAAACTCTTTCTTTAGTTATATCCATAAGAAGGATATAATCAGCAAAAAAATATACATTAAGGCACATCCTCGTGTAAATGTCCTATATGAACATCCATAACTAAAGCAAAAAAAAATACAGGCCTAAAGCTAATTCTTATTGTAATCCAATTTAAATAAGAAAAAACTCAATCAATCCTTCTTTTGTTCAAACTTAAGTAACAAGTATAATATACATATCTTTAAAAAATTGAATATAAGTCATATCAAATCTGATGTTAGATATTTGAGTGGTTGTTTTCATTCTTTTCTCCTTTTATTTTTAAAGGAGTCTTCAATTTGTTCATCGTCGTATACTTCCTTTTCTCGAATAAGTCTCTCATCCGAATCATGTGAATGATCATGACTAGAGAGGAACTGGAAAAGCAGGACAAACAACAAAAATGGACAAACAAGAGAAATGACATGGATAACTTTCATGCGGAAAACCTCGCTATGATAGGTCAAACATATACTCCTGAACAAGATCATACTGAAATAAGTTTGTGTCAAATATTCACGAAAGAATGCCTACGAAAGGTACTCATAACCAGAGATTGAGGTGTGTTTGTTTGTTTTGGGGTCCAGAGTGCTCCAAAAGAGGAAATATCCTACTTGGTTAATTACATCTTGAGGGCTTTCAGAGAATACTTTTGATCTAGAAAGTTTTGCTTATATTTAAAGGGATGACTAACATAGAGCTATCAAAGAATAGATATTTTGCAGGGGAATGATTTGATGCTTTTAATGCTCCAGCTAAACTACGGGAGAGAGAATGAGTCTCTCATGGTCCCACAAGGGTAACAGACTCATTGACGCACGGAGCTTACAAAATAACTAGATCATCATGCAGGGTATATATCATAGTACTTGCAAGCCATAAGGAAAGAGGAAAAACCTACGTATCCCAAACTGGTGACAGCTCATCAATAATTTGACCATCAAGGTGATATCAACGACAGTAAGAGGAGCAACATGGCTCAAAGTGGGTAGTCAAAGGAAGGGACCAGTAATCCCTAACAGGTAAAGTTAGCAAGGTTGGAGCACCACAAACCTTCATCCCAAGCCACTAGGATCCTATGTCTACCCAATCATGAAGGCAGTCAACCCAAGACGTCCAAAGATCCCCAGTCAGTAATCTATGAATTGTATCATTCGCAGAAACCTCAGTATGCCTAAGGTCAAAGGAAAGAAACTCTATCATATGATTATCAGGTGTAGCTCCAAGGGTTGGGACTTATAGTCATCGATGTGGCAAGGATGCCTTTGGAAAGGAACAGAAAGGGTGGTTTAGCAACGAAGCTGGAAAAACTCCCAAATGTAGGACATAATCTTCGTCTGGGTTGATGAAGCCTCTAAAACCCTAAGCGCCCTAGATTACCACCTGAGTAGAAATCTATGTTAGGTCAATTGGGTTGGAGAAGCACAGAGACTTTTTCTCATGAAATGTCAATAATGCAGTTATTTATCTCTAAGTGTGGAGGCCTTAGAATGACTTGGGTGATAGCCATGCATGCAACCCATTTAAAATCCGACCCGAAGACCATGCTGGAAACTAAAAGTGCATATTTTAAAATTCCTGAATTTTTTATTTCTAAATTTAATTAATCTTAAAATTTTTGTTAGGATTTTGTAGAAAAAATTTATGAATTATGATCCTTAGAGCCTAAGTTACAACATTGAACTCCCAGACAAACTACAACAAAAAAGGGTGAAGCCAATCCAAGCATACATGCATGTAAAAAAGACAGTAAAACAAGTCAAATACAAAATAATAAAAGGTTTGTGTTGTTGGTTCGGCGACATATACCAGAAAAGAAAAATGTTGCTTTTGATGTAATAATTGTAGTTTCGATAGAAACTCTAAAATTAAGTGTGCTCGTATACGAGCAATTCTGGGATGATTGATCCCTTTAGAAGTTATACCATTTGGGCAAAATCGTGAGGTCATTATGCCAAAACGGGCAACATCAAGATATATGAGAGTTCGGACTATCACAAAGAGTATCAAAGTGGTACGTCATACAGAATAAAGTATTACACAATAAGATTTAACCCGTAAACGTATTATTTTTTATTTAACGTTTTGAAATTATGCTTTAATTAATATAACCAAATCAAGATATTACTTGAATTGTTCAAAAATGTTATCTTGGAGATTATGAATAACAATAACTTTCTATGAAATATTAGAAAAAGGTGTTGCTCTGCGCGTTGCCTGCTCATATACTTGTTCAATGAAGATTAAGTTGCAGCTGCAGCTGATTGAATTTTTTTAGGAATATTTACATTCAAATCACTCGATTCTTATTTATTTATACATCTGACACCTAAAATTTAATTTTAACATACTTACCATCTTATCTTTGCATGAAAAGTTGAATTTTAATTTTTAAAAATTAAAATTATGATATTTTTTATGCAATATGAATGATTTGGGAGGTACAAATATAAAAAGAAAATTTTAGGTGTTAGATATGTAAATAAAACTGAATTACATTTGGGAGGTACAAATATAAAAAGAAAATTTTAGGCGTTAGATAAATAAATACAACTGAATTAGGTGGTATGTATGTAAATGCCCCCTTGTAATATATTTTTCCACTTTTTCTTTTAAATAGATAATGTAATATATTATAGCATTTTTTAACCTGATAGATAAGAAGATAAATCATGATCTATTATTTACTAATATTTAAAGTTTATAAATTATTCCTTACTTGTTTGACCTGTTTATTTTATTTCATTCATATTTATATATGTTTAGAATATGAGTTAGTAAACAGAAATTTTGATCATCTTAATTATGAATGAACAATCACATGCAAATAAATAAGTATGCATGCACAAAAACTAGTATATGGAATTTTTTATCTATTAACATCTTGTAAAATTGAGCTCACGTGCGGAGTTGTTTAAACCCACTTATCAAAATGGCTGAACAAAGTCACTGCCGAAGTGGCTAGTCCAACTCATCTCTGTCTTCCTCGAGAAGATAATTTAAAGCTATTTTTGCGAAGATGGCAATTCGAAGAAGTCATCATGATCAACCAAAACTTCTGTCAATCTCTCATTTAAAGACGCCACCTGACATTGAGATTCAGTCACATCGCCTAAGCATTGGGTATGGTCGTTATACAAAAAATAGTTGATATTACCCGGCAATAACTCAAATTTATGATATTGACCTTCTATCAAGAAATTCGAGAAAACTTAATAATACAGTTCTCAATATATTGCTTAGATAATTTTATAATCTTTCCATCTCTCTTGTATAAAAGGGAGGATAAAGACAAAGGGAATGATTCCCCCCCTCCCTCCCTCCCTCCCTCTCTCCAAAAGTCTTTAAGAGTTTGTTTGGGACAGGTGCAGCTTATTGAATAATCTGTTGATAGGCTGAGTGCGGTGGTTATTACAAATTTTTATTTTTTTTTGAAAAAGTGAGACCACAACCATAAGCTGTCACCACACCTAGATATGTGCGGTATGAAAACGTTATTTTCAACATTTTGAAAACGCATAAGCTGCCAAAACACAGTTTACCCAAACAGACCA